GCCCTGAGGCCCATTACGGGCCCCCAGACGCCGAAAAATCACCCCGACCCCCCCCCCCCAAAAAAAACTATATGTTTGAAAACAAAAGACAAGGTTAGCCAGCGTGGACCCCAAGCAGCAGGTTCTTGCAATCTGCGCGGTGCAATATATGTGGTGCCATGTGTTCGATGATGCAACCGATGTAATGCAACGTTTGCGGTGCAATCTACGTGGGGCAATACATGCGATGATACATCTTATGTAATGCAGCTTGTGTTGTGCAAACTATGTGGTGCAATGTATGCAATGCAACCTATGAATTTCAGTGTTTGCGGTGCGATGATCTTAACAAACGAGTTGAAACATGCCATGCTCCTGCAAACATCCCACCCACGCAGCCGCAACTTGGTTTGCAAAACCCATGCGGTGGCCATTGCGATGCATGCTGCGGCCGCGCCAACCCGAGCGCGCGCGCGCAGCAGCCAGCTAGTTTGGCGCGACCGACGCGGCCGCGGTGGCGCTGACCGCTGGGCACACACAAGCGGGCATTTCATTGCGAGTCGGCGACTTGAGCGGGCGTGGTATCATGTCAACGTCAACAATGGTAGACACGATGATGATAGTCGCGATGCTGGTGGCGACGTTGGCAACGATGAAGTTGTGGCCGGTCCGGGCGCCGATGTTGATCACGCCGACTACGATGACGGCGTCCTCGCGTCGGTGATGAAGGTTTTGGAAAGAGTTCGACATGCCCGCGCGGCCGACGCGCGAGAGTGGCCCGCATGGTATTATTCGACACGGACCGTGCCCCCTCAGCACGCGCGCAAAGGCGTGCGAATGATGTCGGCATGCCACGCGAGAGGCCCGTTTGGCAGAATTCCACGAACATGTTGATATCTCTCTATATATATGTATATATACACACATACATACATACAAACATACAGGCATGCATGCATACATACATACATACATAAATGTATACACACGTATGATTTATTGGAGATTCGCCAGAGCGCGAGCAGGCTTTTTTGAAAACTGATGTTGCGAGACAATGCGTTGTTGAATGTGTTTCGGACACTAGGTTTTGAAATCGCTGCGAACCCAAAGTTTTTCAACGGATTGTGGCATGCGCGCGCGACGACGCGCGCGCATGAATTTCGTCATCTGTGTTGCAAAGGGTTCTCGCGACGGCACGCGCGCAATGGCGTTCGAACGATTTCGACACGCGCGCGCGAAGCCCGTGTGGTTGCACTGTCTGAAAACACTGGGAAACAAAAGGAAAAACATATGGTTTCCCAAGGTTTCGCAAGAGCGCGCGCGCAAGCCTTTGTTGGGAAATCTGTGTTGCGAGACCCCGTGTTATATGTTTTTTGGGGGCACTCGATTCGGAAATTTCTACGAAACCGAAGGTTGTTGAAGGATTTCGACATGCGCGCGCGACGACGCGGGCGTGTGCATTCCGCTTCATTCCCCAATCAGGATTTGCTTCTGTAGGGGTCCTAGCGGATTCATATGGTTAAGTGAGGTTTGCCACCGTTTCCGCGGCCCGCCTGGGTGCCCATGTGTCCGGGTGCCGGGGTGCCTTATAGCCCTGTAGTTTTGTAGCCCTATAGCCCCGTAGCCGAATAGCCCAATAGCTTTATAGCCCCATGGCCCTATAGCCCTATAGCCTTTGAGCCCTAGATGATTAGAGCCCTATAACCCTATAGCCCTATATCCCTATAGCTTTGTAGCCCTATAGCCCTATATCCCTATAGCCCTAAGGCCGTATAGCCCTACAACCTTATAGCCCTATAGCCTTATAGCCTTAGCCCCATAGCCTTACAACAACCCAAAACCCGTATAGCCCTATAGCCCTGTATCCCTATGACCCTATAGCCCTATAGCCCCGTATTCCTATAGACTCATAGCGCTATGGCCCTATAGCCCCATGGCCCAGGAGCCCCGGAACCCCATATCCCTATAGCCCCACTGCCCTATACCCGTATGGCTCTGTAGCCCTATAGCCATAAAGACCTATAGCCTTATGGCCCTAAAGCCCTATAGTTCCATAGCCCCATAGCCTCATAGCCCCATCGCTGTATAGCCCAAATAGCCCCTATGGCCCTATATCCCTAAAATCACTTTTATTTGGATTTGTCTTTGGAATCTTCGCTTGCAAGGGATTATTGAAAATTGCTGATGTTTGACAAACGTTTGCGCGCGCATATGTTTTTGCAGAGGACGGCGGGGGGGGGCGATACCGGCCTGGCTGGGATGGCATGAATCCATATCTGAGATGAACGATGGGACAGAATCATCTGTCAATTGCAATACGAAGTGGGGGGGAGTCGATTCTCTCTGTAGAAAGGAGAATTCAGTTTGCCGAATTTGAAGTTGTCGACTCCACTGCTCGCGCAATCGTCCCACCCACCCACCCGCAACTTGGTTTGCAAAACCGATGCAGAAGCGATTGCGATGAGTGCTTGGTGTTGGCTGGTGCATCTCTGCGCCCGCGCTAGCCCGCGCATGCTCGCGCGCAACGGCCAGCTAGTTTGGCGCGACCGACGCGAGCGCGGTGGCGCTGACCGCTGGGCACATCCCAGCGGGCACTTCATTGCGAGTCGGCGACTTGGGGGGGCGCGGTATCATGGCAACGTCGAAAGAGCTAGACACAATGATGATAGTAGCGATGCTGGCGCCGATGCTGATCACGCCGGCGACGATGACGGCGTCTTCGCGTCGGCGATGAAGGTTTTGGAAAGAGTTCGACATGCGCGCGCGGCAGACGCGCGAGAGTGGCCCGCACGGTATTATTCGACACGGATCGTGCCACCCCAGCACGCGCGCAAGGGCGGCCGAACGATTTCGACATGCGCGCGCGAAGCCCTTTTGGTAGCACTCCATGAAACCATAGGTTTTATGTAGAATTCGCGAGAACGCGAGCGCGAGCTTTTGTTGGGAAATCCAAGTTGCGAAACCCCGTGTTTATATGTTTTCTGGACGCTCGATTTTGAAATTTTTACGAAGCCGAAGATTGTTGAAGGATTCCGGCATGCGCGCGCGACGACGCGCGCGTGTGCATTTCGCTCTTTTGTTTGTGCAAGGGGTTTTTGGAAACTGGTGATGTTTCATCAGCGAGCGTGCGCGGATATATGTGTTGCAGGTGATGGCGGGGGGGGCCGATACTGGCCCACCTGGGATGGTACGAGTTCATATAAAGGATGGACGATGGGGCAGCATCATATGTAAATTGCAATACGAAAAGGGGGATAATCCCGGGGGGGGGCAGAGTCCAATGTCTTCCCCGAAAGGAGATTCCATTAATTTGGACAAGCGAATTGGCACATTCCATGCTCACGCAATCATCCCACCCACCCACCCGCAACTTGGTTTGTAAATCCCAGGTGGCGGCGATTGTGATGAGTGCTTGGCGTTGGCTGGTGCATCTCTGCGGCCGCGCCTACCCCAGCTCGCGCGCGCAGCGGCCAGCTATTTTGGCGCGACCGACGCGAGCGCGGTGACGCTGACCGCTGGGCACATCCCAGCGGGCACCAGTGCGAATCGGCGACTTGGGCGGGCGCGGTATCATGGCCACGCCGACAACCGTAGCCACGATCATGAGAGTAGCGATGATGGTGACGATGATGGCGATGACGACGGCAAGGCCAAATATGGCGCCGATGCTGATCACGCCGACGACGATGGCGGCGTCCTCGCGTCGGTGATGAAGTTTTTGGAAAGAGTTCGCCACTCCCGCGCGGCCGACGCGCGAGAGTGGCCCGCATGGTATTATTTGATACGGACCGTGCCCTCAGCACGCGCGCAAAGGCGTGCGAATGATTTCGGCATGCGGCGCGAGACGCCCGTCTGGCAGAATTCCATGAGCAGGTTGGAAATTCATGGTGTTCTGAAGGTTTCCCCAGAGCGCGGGCGCAGGTTTTTTTGAAAACTGGTCTTGCGAGACCATGCTGTTATACGGTTTCGGGACATTCAGTCTCGAAGCCCCAACGAAACCAATGGTTCCGACCGATTTCGGCATGCGCGCACAACGACGCGCGCGTGCATTTCGTCCCACTTGTTGCAAAGGGTTCTCGCGACGGCACGCGCGTAAAAGGCGTTCGCGCAATTCGACATGCGCGCGCGAAGCTCGTTTGGCAGCATGTTTGGAGCAGCATGGTTGTCTGAAGAATTCTCACGAGCGCGACCGCAATGTTTGGGGGGGAAATCCGCGTTGCGAAACCACGCGTTTGTCTACACAGGTTTTGGACACTCGATTTTGAAACCCTTACGGACCCGAAGGTTGTTGGTTCGTGTCGGCATTCGCGCGCGACGACACGCGCGTGTGCACTTGGTCTTTTTTTTTCTGTTGCAGGGGGTTCTTGGAAATTTATGATTTGTGATAAACGACTGCGCGCGCATAGTATTTCTTGCAGAGGATGACGAGAGTGATATCGTTTCCCCTGGGATGTTACGGGTTCGTGTTCCGGATGGGATTGTACGAACTCATATTTAGGATGGGCGCCGGGGCAGGACCATATGTAAATTACCATACGGAAAAAAGGGTACGGATAATCCCCGGCGGGTAGAGAATGTATGCGATGTTACCTACGGTATGCCATCTATGCGATGCAATGTATGCGATGCGGCGACGGCGACGGGCGGCGGCGGGCGGTACGGGCGGCGACGGGAGCGTATGGCGGCGACGGGCGGCGACAGCGACGGGCGGTGACGGGCGGCAACGGCGACAAGCGGCGACGGGCGGCACGGCGGCGATTTTGCGGCGAGGGCCCCGAGATGGTTAACCGAAGTAAGGACCCTGAGTGTTGCAAGCACTGTTTGGGGAAAGAAATACAGAACAAACCTTCAAACAACAAACAAACAAAAACACGTCGGGATTGGGCGCGCCCTTCGCGGACGCCCTTCGCCGGGCGCGCCTAGCGCGCGCGCGCTCTCGGACGCGTCGGGCCTCCATCCCGCCGCGGCGAAGGCCCAGCGCGGGGGAGGCGTGGGCGGCCTCCACCGCGGCGCGGCCGCAGGCTGCTCCAGTGGAACCCGCACTGGGAGTGCGCCGAGTGGAACGAGCACGAATGTGGACCCTCTCGCCACCTCCACCTCCTCCTCCTCCTCCTCCTCCTCCTCCTCCTCCTCCTCCTCCTCCTCCTCCTCCTCCTCCTCCTCCTCCTCCTCCTCCTCCTCCTCCTCCTCCTCCTCCTCCCCTTCTCCTCCTCATCCTCCTCCTCCTCCTCCTCCTTTTCCTCCTCCTCCTCTCTCCCCTCCTCCCCCCACTCCTCCTTCCCCTACTCGTCCTCCTCTCCTTTTCTTCCTCCTCCTCCTCCTCCTCCTCCTCCTCCTCCTCCTCCTCCTCCTCCTCCTCCTCCTCCTCCTCCTTCTCCTCCTCCTCCTCCTCCTCCTCCTCTCCTCCTCCTCCTCCTCCTCCTCTCGTCATCACCTCCTCCTATTCCTCCTCCTCCTCCTCCTCCTCCTCCTCCTCCTCCTCCTCCTCCTCCTCCTCCTCCTCCTCCTCCTTTTCCTCCTCCTCCTCCTCCTCCTCCTCCTCCTCCTCCTCCTCCTCCTCCTATTCTCTCCTCCTCCTCATGAGCAGCATCAGCAGCAGCATCAGCATCAGCAGCAGCAGCAGCAGCATCAGCAGCAGCAGCATCATCATCATCATCATCATCATCATCATCATCATCATCATCATCATCATCATCATCATCATCATCATCATCATCATCATCATCTCATCTCATCATCATCCTCTCTCCTCCTCCTCCTCCTCCTCCTCCTCATCCTCATCCTCATCCTCCTCCTCCTCCTCCTCCTCCTTCTCCTCCTCCTCCTCTTCCTCTTCCGCCTCCTCCTCCTCCTCATCCTCCTCCTCCTTTTCCTCCTCCTCCCCCTCCCCCTCCTCCTTCTCTTCTTGCCAGGTGGCTCCCCAGTGGCCCCCGCCCCCGCCCCCGCGCAGCCATTTGCCCCGCGGCTGGGCGGGCGGGTCCGCGCCATAGAGGGGAAGCCCCCAGCCCCGACGGGGCGCCGCGAGCAGCGCTCCCGCTCGCCAGCCTGGCACCGCCGCCTCCGACAGAGACGGGCGACGGCCGCAGGCGGCTCCGCGCGGAGAAGGACCTGCTCATCCTCGAGATGCACCACGGCAGCCAGGCGCCCACGACATGGGCCACCTGCAAGCGTTGCAAAGAGTGGTCGTGGCACTCGACGCTGGAGAAGAACGGCTACTGGTGCAGCTGCGGAGCCCGCGTCGCCAGGCCCAAGAAGGGAGGCGGCCACGACTCCAGCAGCGGCAGCGGATGGTGGCGACAGCAACCCATCGGCAACAGCGGAGGCGCGAGCTCAGCTGCTGGAGGCCGAGGTCGCTGGCAGGACAACGCCGCCTCCTCCGCCCCCCCCCCCCCCCCGAGCAGGGCGTCGCCAAGCTCGCCACAGCGCTGCGGACGGTGACAGAGTCCATCGGCACGCTGAAGCTGGCCAACGGCGAGGACATCGCGAAGCAGCTGACGGGTGTGGCCGGCGCGCGCAACGTCCCCGAGAAGAAGAAGCCACCCAAGTCCAAGGCGGTGCGCCTAGCAGAGGCAGCGAAGGCGCTCGACTCCGCGACCCGCACCGACAACTGGGCGTACGAGCAGAAGGTGCTGGCCGAAGCGAAGGCAACCAAGGCCCACGAGAGGTTGCAGGAGAGCGCGGACGCAGTCGTCAGTGCCGAGGCCGAGATCGAGGCCATCCAGAACGAGGGCAAGCAGAAGGCGCAAGAGCATCTTCGAACAGCTGCTGGACACGGACGCCGACCTGCTCTCGCCCAGCGACGTGCAGATCGCCGAGGTCGAGGACGAGTTCCGCCAGCACGAAGACCTCGACGCCGAGGGCAAGAAGGCCGTGGACGAGGCCAAGAGACAGGTGCTCGAGCAGCTGCAGCGCAACACCAGGGAGTTCGCGGGCCAGCTGAAGCAGCACCTCCAGGCCGCCAAGGCCAAGGCCGAGCAGGAGCGGGCCGAGATCCAGCAGGCCTACAAGAAGCGGAAGGCGGAGCAGCATACGTCGGGACAGGCCGCAGACGCGCCGACCGCCGCTGCCCCACCAACCGCAGGCGCCTCTGGATCTGCGGCCCAGCCCGACAACGACGCCCACGCCAGCAAGGTACCAACCGCTGCGAAGGACTATCTCCAACAGCGGCGGGACGCGGCGGCCTCAGCCGAGGCCCCCGCACCCCGCTGAAGGTCAGGGCGCGGTGGGGGGGCGGCAGTTTGGCGACGACTCCCACCACGAGCGCCACATATTCAGCGCCAACATCACGACCTGGGGCCCCACGGCGTTGAGCTGGCCACGACGAGACGGAGTACGGCAGCCCCACGACGTCTACGCCATCCAGGAGACCCACCTGCCCCAGGCCCAGCTCGCGGACACGGAGCACACGCTGCAGAAGATGGGCTTCTCAGCAGTGTTCACCGCGGCGCGCGCCAGCACGAACAGCCCCAGTGGAACTTGCGGAGGTGCGGGAGTCCTCACCAAGGGCCACCTCAAGGCAACGACACACCGACATCGGGGAGAGCGTACCAACGTCTCGGGCGCCACCACCTACGACGCCGACGACACCCACGCCACCTACCGCATGTGCGACTGGACGCCAGTCACTCTGCACCTGCGAGGCCCCCAGCTCCTCATCATCTCCCTCTACCTCGACCCGTGCCATTCCGTCAACTTCTGCGAGAACTCCAGGAAGTTGACGTCCCTGGCCGCCTTCCTCGCCACCGCACACGCGCCGTGGACCATCTGCGGCGACTTCAACCGCTCCTACGCGACTTCTGTGGTGCAGTCAGGCTGGACCACAGCCCTCGGCGCCACCGCCTACGTGGGACTCGACGACAACCAGGGCGCGCGCTTCCTCGGCGACGCGAAGCCGTCCAACATCGACTAGCACGAGGAATACAACCAGTGCACGACGTACCATGGAAGCCGCACATCGGGATCGACATCACTATTCGAGCGGACACGGACCCCGACCATGCCCGACGACTGCAGATGCCGAAGGCTTTCCCACGCCTTGCCCCACCCATCAAGCAGCCAACCACCGCCAAACGCCCAAATAAGAGACGCCCCAAGGCTCAACCAACGACATCCCCCCAGCCACCCCTCGACCAAGACCAGACCGACGCCAGCCGCTGGGAAGCTCTTGGACCGCAAGGATGGCACCACCACCCACGACACACCACAGCAACAACGACAACGACCCCGACATTCCCACAGCAGCCGCAGCACCGACGAACCACCATGGATGGAGCAGACCAGGACACTATGGAGGAATACGACACTGCGGACTACTTCGACGAGTTCGAACCCGAACACGACGGCCAATACTCCCACTACTCCCACACCGTCATCGACAGCATGCATGATTCGGAGGTGTACGCACATGTAGCAGCAGAGGCTCAAAGGGCCAACGCCAGCGACATGGACCACACCGACGACCACGAGAATTCAGCGCTGCCCAACAACCTGGACTGCGACGAGGCTCAAAGGGCCCCCGAGCAGAAACCACTACTTGAGCAGCTTACCGAACGAGCAAACGGCACCGACACCAGGGCGCTCGACGACACCTGGTCCGCTGCCAGCATGCCCGACCACGGACCCACCAGCCCAGCCCCCACATACATCCGACAATGCGCAGCGTACCAAGCTGACCCGACCAGCGCAGACCAGCTTGGCGCAACCTGCCAGCACTTCATCAGCACGCTCGAGACGTTCTTCTGTCTCGCCCACCACATTCCCTTGGAAGGCCGGCAACACTTCCGAGGACGAGGCCGAGGCTATGCATTCAAGGAACAACCGCTACGAGAACTCGGTGATCACCAACTTCGATACGCATCCCACAGATCCGACTAGTGGAGCCGCGTGGAGAACGTCCTCAGTACCCTCGCCAAACTTCGCCAACGCGAACGCGGACACTAGCAACAACTCAGCCTACATGCAGCTGGACGCCGACTAGTACGTGAAGGACTCCACCACTCGGACGAAACGCATCACCCACCGCCCAGCTCCACCACCAGCTATGGAAAGATAGACTAATGCACTTAGACGCTCAGCCCCTACAGACCCTACAGGGCATGGCCCGACAAGCGTTCAGCGAAAAGAGCCAAGCCCTACTCACAGACCTACGACACAACCACCGCGAGTACAGCAACTGGCTAGCCACCGCCTGTAAAACACCAGCCACCCTCCACAAGATCACCAAGCCACCACCACGACGCGAACACGAAGTGGTACACCAGGGCAAGGTACTCAGCAGCCCGCTAGACATCGTCGGCGCCAAGGCCGCCGTCTTCAACGGCATTTGGACCTGCCACGACGTACCACACAGCCACCACACCTCGCTACTTTCCGACCTTCGGCAACGAGCAGAACGGGAGGAACCGCCAACGCCCTGGACCATCGACGACTTAGACCGCTGTTTCCGCGGGGAGCCAGACAAGGGCAATGGCGTCGACGTCATCAGGTGCAGCGACATCAGACGGCTACCACGAGCCGGACGGCAAGCCCTCGCCGACCTTTTTCAACCTCTGTGAACCGCACATGATGTGGCCATGGCAGCTACTGCTCTCCATCGTCATGATCATCCCCAAGCCCAAGAAAGGCGACCGCGCGCTCGCCCTCTTGCCACAACTATTCCGCTGCTTTGAACTACTACACCGAGACCGAGTCCGACGATGGGCAGTGGACCGGCAACGAGAATGGGACGCCGCCATCGCGGGCAACAGTTGCCTACGAGAAGCACTACGCCGCCTCATCACCGACGAATGCGCCGACACCTTCAACATGGCCAAGACCATCTTGCTGGCAGACATCGAGAAGTTCTACGACAGCCTCCGTATCGACAAAACCGTGCCAGTTGCGCTACGTCTACGATTCCCTGCCCGACTGCTATACCTCATGATGCTCCAGCACTCAGCCGCACGAGTACTACGACACCAAGGATCCTACTCCAGGACGATCTACGCGGACCGCTCCATCCTCGCAGGCTCCAGGCACGCCAACAACATCGCTCGCACAGTCGTGTACGCCGCGATGGCGACCCTCACCGACACCAGCATCCTACCACGACCACTACCTCGCGCATGGTTCGACGACGTCAGCATCCGCATAGTAGGCAGCAGAACGCACACGACAACCGCCACCGTCGCATCAACGCACCGCCTATTCCTAGCACTACAAGAGCAGGGGCTACGACTGGCCGACAAAACGACCCTCATGACCACGCACTACAAAGACACCAAGAAGATCCAGCAGCAGCTCCGCGACCTCCACATCGACGTCCAAGTAGCCACAGAAGGACGAGACCTGGGCGCAGATGGCGCAGCACGCGGAACTACCAGACGCTCCACGCACGCGACACGATGGGCAGCAGCACGGCGACGCCTACGCGCAGTCCGAGGCAAACTACGGCGACTCCACACCTCCACCAAGGCCAGCCTGGTGAACCAGGGCGCGATGGCCTCCGCGAAGTACGGCGTCGCCTTCCACGGCCTGGCCCCCACCGCACTACGTGCAGCACGACGCCAATACGCCCAAGCCCTTCGTCGCCCTTGGCCTGGACGCTGCCCCACCACATTCCTCGACCTAGAAGGGACCGACCCCGCCTACACCTTCGCGAGCACGCAGTTCTCCAACTGGTTTGGATGCTGGACGCGCAGCCCAGACCTACGTGCGCAAATCAGACGCGCCTGGCCCAGAATCTACTTCCGACTGCTCAAGGTACCTACTCACCGCCGCTGGAACCAGAGACGCGGCCCCATCGCAGCCATCATCCCAGCGCTGTGGGAGCTCGGCTGGGACTCCCGCGGACCAGACCACTGGATCGACAGCGCAGGCAACGACTTGAAGTTCCCCCACGAAGACGCCCAAGACACCAAAGACATCCCAGACGCCATCATGCACGACGCGAGGCAGCAGCTCTGGAGGACCGCAGCGACCCACTACCACGGCGGAGGCCTCGAGCACAACGACGCTGACACCACAGAGCCCAAGCGACACCTGCAATGGCTCCGAACACACGACAAGCACCGCGAATACGGCGCCCTCCTCATTGCTGCTTGTGCGGGAACGTGGACTCGCACTAGGCAGCAGACGACAGTCGGCCATGGAAACCACCTATGCGAATGCGGGCAGCCAGACGCCGACGACCACCGCATCTGGGAACGATGCAGCTGCCGAGGTGATGACGACATCTACGACAAAACTGACAGGCTGCAAGCCCGCGCTGCCGCGGGACACCAAGCCGCCCCAGCCTCCTGGCTCAGAGGCATCAACCCACGAGATTGGTCAGTACCACCAGACTGCGACACAGCCGAGCCAGCATCCAGCATGGGCGAGCTGACACAAGCCGACAAGATCTGCACCAACGACGGGACGCCCTTGGTGATCTACGGCGACGGCTCAGGCGGGGAGCATTCCTCCGACTGGCGTTACCGAAGATGCGGATGGGCGTGGCTAAGACTTGGCAGCACACACGACGGCGGCTTCAACGCCACTGCAGCACGATACGGCCCACTACCCCCCCGACGACAAACGAACAACCGTGCAGAACTCTGGGCACTACTGGATGCGATCAAGCACACCACTGGCGCCATGCACATCTGGACGGACAGCGACATCGCATTCAAGGGCTGGCGAGACCGACGGCGCCAACTACAGCCCCACACGGGCAGCAACGACGACCTCTGGGAGACCATCGGCAAGGAGCTTGAGCACCGCGGCGAGCAAGGACCAGCCCGCATCGAAGCCCACCACATCAACAGCCACCTGACCTCGGAGGAAGCGCAAGGCCGAGGATCCCCCCGACACGCATGGTTTGGAAACGCACAAGTGGATCGACTTGCAGAGCAAGCCGCCGCAGAGCACCAAGTGGACGCGGGCCAGCTCAGATGCTACCAGTGGGTCAACGCCACCGCCGCCCTCATCTGCAAGCGCATTACCGCCGGCACTATCGACGCCATCAACCGACGCCCATCAGAAGCACACGAAGTACGCGCCGCACGATGGGCTCAGCAGCAAGAGTACCGCAAGCAACTCAGACGAAGACGAGATTATTTCGCCGACGGACCACCACACCCAGTTGGCAGGCGCCCCACCTACCACCCACAACCTGGCCAGGCCTCGACGGGGAAAGGGTTGGGTGAGCACTTGCTGCACTCAGCGCGCCGGACGAGACACCAGCTTTGCAGCAGTACCAGCAACAATGCACAGGACCACCACCGCGACAAGGACGAGCCATCACCCAGCACGGACGCACCGCGCACGACTGCCAGGAGCTGATGTTCATCCGAGCAGAATCCCGCTGGGTATGCCGCCACTGCGGTGCCTCCACCACCGAGTATGTTTCGGAGAAGATGCGCACGGAATGCCCACGCCGCACTGGGTATCGCAGCTTACACTACAAACTCATGAAATGGACAGAGCTCGCCGACAACGACCAGGACGGGCACGACGACACCAGCACCGCCACCAGCCAAGAACGACGCGACCCAGCACCCGACAGCGACCAAACCAGCACAACGCCCAGCGACGGCAGCCACGAACCACCAGTGACGCAGACCATCGAACCCCCACAGACTCCACCACCAAGGGCGCAAGCCGTTTACTGCAACGGTGTGGAGGGGGAGGACGAGTACCCCCCGCGTCCACCAGAAGGGGCGGCCAGGGGACGCCAGCGAGGAGATGCATTTGAACGCCCTCGCCCGCGCCCCCCCGACCGCTCCACAGCAGCCCGACCACTACCAGGACAAGCAGAACGAGCAGCCACCATTCCAGCACCGATGCCAGCACGACGAAGCACCAAGACTCCAACGCGACGAGCAGCAAGCCTGTGCGCAACAACCTCAACAACCCTCGACAGCCGCAGCGACTGCAACGAGCATC